CCTGCTGCCACTGCTGCCACCACAGGCGGCCAGGGCAGGGCCAGCGGGGCGGGGGGGGGGGGGGGGGGGAAGAGATCGGGAGGGGCCAGGAGCAGTTGGCCAGCCCCACCCTTGGTTGAACTCCCAGTGGAACTCCTGGTCGAGGGGACAATTTGCATATTAGGCTTTTATTATATAGGATAAGTTCTTAAAATGCCTCATTGTGCTGTGAGTTAAGGGGCATTGACTAAATAAGAAGTCAGTCTTAAATCCAGATTATTCAGTTAAAGAAGCAACTATAACTTGGGAAAGGAGTAGAGGAATAGAAGCAAATGTTTTAAAGCTAACTCGATTAACAAAAAAAAAATCACATTGGTGTCTTTTGTATATGTATTTGGAACTAAAATCTTAGTGCTCCATTAGTGGTTTTAAAATTAAATAGCCAGCCCAAAATTTGGGCTGTGGAATATTTACTAAATAATAAAAAATAAACTAGATTATTCAGTGAGTACAGAAAAATTCAGTACTTTTAATGGACAGTAGAGTTAAGATCTGCAAAAGTGTTAATAAAGGTAAGTCCACAGACTTCTAAAAAGAGGTGCCTGTTCCTGTATATACAGTGAGCCAAAGAAATCTAACTTTAGCACAGATGATAGGCTTACCACAAAATGGAAAGAATCTTTACTTCCCTAGGAAAAAAAAGTCTACAACTACATATATTTCAAAATATTCATGATCCTTGGGAAGTGAAATTAATTGCTAGTGACTACTTTCATTTTTGCCTTTTTGTTTCCTAACCTTTTTATAAAGAGCATGCATTATTTGTACAGATTTAAATAGTCATTTAAAAAGAAGAAAACAGCTTTTTTAGCCTTCTTCCTATGTACTGAATTTAGGAACTGACACCAAAACCAATGTTTGATTCTTTTCTCTACCTTTAAAACAAATGAAAATTTTTTATTTTCATTTAATCAAGAAGCTTGATTCACAGTGAGTGCAAATCTTTTGGAGTTGTAAACGCTACATAGGTTATTGATCTTCTTTAGCTAAATGTCTATACATAAACATGTGAACATCATATTCCCAGCACACATCTAGAATACTAGTAAAGATGAAATTTTATCCTTGGGTGTGCTGTCTCACTATTTATCTGTGCTTGTTTATTAGAGAGAAACAGACGAATTCATTTTACTTCTACCAGGAAATTAGCTGCAGGTTTGTATTGACACTTGGACATTGGCAGAAAATCCAACCTGTGTGTTGCTTCCAAGGAGCCTACCTGAGCTGGGGCTCTAACTGGAGGCCGGGCAACAAACAGCCCCAGGCCAATGATGTTACAGGAGGGACCTCTGATTGGCATGTGTTCTTCTGTGGGATTCTTAACGTGTATTTACTCACACACTCTACGTTGTTACATCTGATTTCCTGGGAGTTGACGTGAACTGCAGGATCCTTCCTTCCTCTTGAATAGGCATCATTTGAATGTTTTTTGTATAAGTCGTATGTATAGCAAAGTACTTTACAGTAACATCTTACACCATTTTGAGTAATGAAGAGGTATAAAGTGATTGCCCTAAGTTTATTGATGGTACCTTGGCATACAGATGTACTAAGGAAGAAAACATTGTCTTGACATGTAGCTGTGTTGTGTTTTTTATTTTTATTTATTTATTTATTTATTTATTTATTTATTTATTTTTATTGATTTCAGAAAGGGAGAGAGAGAGAGAGAGAGAGAGAGAGAGAGAGAGAGAGAGAGAGAAAGAAACATCAATGAAGAGAGAATCACTGATTGGCTGCCTCCTGCACACCCTCACTGGGAATCGAACCGTGACCTCTTGGTTCATAGATCGATGCTCAACTACCGAGCCACACTAGCCGGGCTGTGTTGTGTTTTTTTAAAACAATGTTCCTGTCTTAGTCCATTTGGGCTGCTATAACAAAATGCCACAGCATGGGTGGCTTATAAACAGCAGAAATGTATTGCTCACGGTTCTGGGGGCTGGAAGTCTGAGATCAGGGTGCCAGCTTGGTCAGGTGAGGGCCCTCTTCTGGTTGCAGACATCTCAGAGTATCCTCACGTGGCGGAGGCGCCCAGGGTGCTCTGCAGAGCCTCTTTATAAAGCACTAATCCCATTCACGAGGACTCTACCCTCATGTCTGACCACTTCCCAAAGGTCCCACCTAATATACCATCATCTTTGAGGTATGAATTCTGGGGGGACACATACATTCAACATATGAATTTTGGACTTGAACATGAATTTTGGGGGGACACAAACATTCTGACCATAGCAATAAGTGACTTGACAATGTTCTAGCCAAGGATTAGAATGATCATAGCAATTGTGGTATCTAATCTTAATTGTTGCTTCAAGTTTCTTCAAAATAGGAAACTGAAGACTAGATTGGTGTCATGTAAAACATCTTCACTCAGGTTATTCTGTGACTCCTTGAAGTCTCATACGGATTAGTTTTATCTGTAATCTGGGATTACTTAAATGAAGACTTTTAGCCCTGGTTGGTGTGACTCAGTTGGTTGAGCGTCCTCCCATACACTGAGAGGCCGCCGGTTCAATTCCTAGGTTTGAACATGTGCCTGCAAGCCGGCACATGCCTAGGTTGCAGGCTTGATCACCAGATGGGGGCATGCATGAGGCAGCTGATCCATGTTTCTCCCTCTCTTTTCCTTTCTCTCTAAAATCAATAAAAACATATTTTAAAAAAATACTTTGCTCTTGTACCACCCAAAGGTGGCTCAAAAGCACAAGCTCTTGCAACAACTCTGTATTCCCTAGTGGTCTGTTCCTCAGTGAACTTCAGTACTTCAGATTACTGCCTGAGAAACAGGAAAGAGTTCTTTTGTTTCGTTTTTAAGGAAATTCACTGTGTACAAAATGAGTAAGGGTGTGGTACACATAAATTATTTTGGATTATAGCCTAAGTAAAATAACAGATTGATTCAATTGGTTACAGAAGAGTGTGATTTTAAAAATATTTCAGCCCTATTTGGCCTGCGGACTGAAGGGCCATAGGTTTGATTCTGGTCAAGGACATGCAGGCTGGATTCTGGCCCCCGAGTGCTTGCCGGAGGCAACCAATTGATGTATCTCTCTCACATCGATGTTTCTCTGTCTCCCACTCCCTACCACTCTCTCTAAAAATCAATGGAAAAAATATTCTTGGGTGAGGATTAACAACAAAAATTCCAATGTAATTAAATTTACATACATTTTTGTATGTGTGTTGCCGTAGGCCTTATCCCTAACATGGTCATCCATTAGGCAGATGATAATGAGAGAAGGTACCTTTAGCATTAACACAGTCAGTTCTACTAAGGAAAATGCCCAAAGGATTATCCTACTCCAAGTCAGGACTTTTCAGTGTGGAGAGCATTTGATTTGGGATACATGCCATTAGGTAATCAATCCAGCCAGTTCTGGGAATCCTTATAACTCAGACACGCTGCTTGAATTATTTCCAAATCCATTGGGTAGAAGAAGGCAAGGGCAAGGACTCACTGGATTTTTGTTGTTATTTTTTGGTTTGTAAGAGTGTCCTTTGCTCTGGGGCCATTTGGGAATCAAATATAAAAGCACGTGTAGTTCAGAGTGTCTTCTGGCTTAAAATTTCTAAGATACCAGAAATTTTAAAAATATAAAAGAGCATAAACAGTATGAAACATTGGGTAAATTAAAGCTTTATCTAAATGTGAAAGTGTTCAAATATGATTTAATGTTTAGTTTTAGAAGTTTGGTATTTTTCTATTCCATCTTAAACTTTGATGTTAAATACTAGTTCTAACAATATAGGCTTGTTTGCTTTTCAGTGACTGTGGGGACCATATGTAAATATGGAATTATGTTTCTTTGCTCTCTTAAAAAAAAGTCAGGCTTCTAATTAAATAGGTTTATGCCTGAGAAATATAACTATTTTTTGCAGTGTGTATCATTCTTAGCTTTTTAAAGATACTATCTCACTGTACAGTGCCCAAAATTTTGAGACTCCTCTATACTACGCAAATGGATGCTTTTCAGATTATTCACTGTCTTACAGGGATTGCCTTCTTTTGAATTTTCTATTTCTGTTCCATAAATTGAACTTGTAAAAATATCACAGAATTAATAATATAAACACTGGTTGTCTTTCTCAGCTTGTTATTTATGTAGAATGGTTGGGTTTTCTGGGTGGTTTTGTTTTGTTTATCTTTTGGTTTTGCATTTGCCAAACCAAAGTTAGAACTCAAAACATAGATGAAAATTATCACAATTAAACTTAATTGACATGTCATAACTAAAAATAAGCTCCTATTTCCCCCCTCAGATGAGCTTTAAGATGACTAAAATTTGAAAACAGCTATTCTAACCATAATTTCTGTGATTTATCAACTTTATAAGAAATTAATTTGTGCTGATTAAACATGCATATATTGTTCTTGAAGCAAGTCTCAAAACACAATAACCAAACAAATAAAAATAGGTTGATTATGTTGACCACAATGATTGGTTATATCTGAAGACTTTGAGAACTCTATTTTATGGATAGCAAATCTTGATTTCAGTCCTGGTTTTATCACTGACTGGTTTTGTGATGTTACTTTACCTCTGAGCACTTGTTGGTGTTAGTGGAATTTTGTTACATTCTGCACTGACAGCTCATGATTCTATATATTTAACTTGCTGTTGAAGTCTTATTAAAGATTTTTGTTTCAAAAGTCAAATAATATTGTTAATACTTATTGAATGCTTTCCATACCTTGGGCTCTATAGTAAACCCTTTATGTGGATTATTCCATTTAACCATCATGTCATTCTCTGAGCTAGGTTCTTTTATTAACCCTGTTATCTGGGATCACCAGCTAGAACTCATAAGCAATAGCCAGGCATTCAGGCTCAGAACCCATGGTCTTAACCACTGAGCTATACTACTTCCCATGAGGCATGTATGTGGGTGGATTTTACTTAGTGCCTTTTTGTATTTTCTGCTTTCTCTAGTAAACATCTCTTTGATAATGCAGGAAAGAAAGACTTGCTTAATTAATTTTTTATTTTTATTTTTTTTAGCTTAGACTGCAAAGGAAATAAATAAGAGCTTTCTTCCTTTGGGAAGGCTATAAAGTTTTGTAGTTCAGGGTCCTTGGTGGCTCTGAGGCCCTGGAATGCCCATTGGTGGCTTGCTGAGGTTCTGTGAATTCTCTGAAATTGCATTTTGCTATAAATGTGCATTTTCATGATGAAAATTTTCAGAAAATTCAGATGAATTTTCGTGCACTGGGTCTCTAGTATGTATATGTGTGTGTGTGTGTATAAAGTATGACAACATGGCTGAACCTTGGAGGCATTATGCTAAGTGGAATAAATCAGAAAGACAAATACTGCCATCGTATCACTTATATATGAAAAAAAGTCAAAATCATAGAACAGAAAGAATGATGGTTATCAGTGGCTGGGAGTAGGGAGAAATGAGAGGGTGGTAAAGGGTACATACTTTGAGCTATAAGATTAATAAGGTCTGAGGATCTAATGTAAAACATGGTGATAATACTATATTGTATATTTGAAATTTGCTGAGAGAGTAGAACTTAAATAATCTCTCAAAAAATAAAAAATAAAAGATAAATATGTGAGGTGATGGATGTATATAGGTATGTCACATCATCACCATGTACACTTTAAATATAACTTTATTTGTCAATTGTACTTCAATAAAGCCGGGAAAAGATAAAGGTTACATTTCTTCTATCCATTAAAAATTTTATTTTAAATCACTTTCATTATTGGAATGATGTAATTTAGACTTAAGTTTCTGATCTCCTTAGAATCTAGATGTTTTTAATGTTAACATTCTTGTCTTATTGATGAAATGATTACTATATTTCTGACTTTGGGAAATCAGAGCTAAAGCTATACAGTGGGGCCTTGACTTACGAGTGTCTCGACTAACGAGTTTTTTGAGATACCAGCTGTCTCTGGGCTGATTTTTTGCATTGAGTTGATAGAGTAATTTGAGTTAACGAGCTCCTTCCGAGCTCGGTCTTGGAGCGAATTAAACTCGTAAGTCAAGGCCCCACTGTAGTTTGCCTTTTCCCGGCCTCCTATAGGCTGGTCAGAATCTCCCCACTAAGGATATTATTAACCTCTGTCTTCCCTTCCCTATAACTATAAAGGATCTGAGAGCTTAGATGTCAGAGCAGGGATTTAAAGTTCAAAGCATAGACGTGGAGAACAGAGTTCTGAGAATTTCTAACAATGGGAATAATAAAATTATAAATTCACAATGAGCTAATTAATAGTTGAAACCAGTTAGGATTAAAGAAAAAAAAGCTTGAATTTCTGGGTGGTATTAAATTTTCTAAAAACTTGTCTTGGTATTTTTAAGTACATAAACATTGTAAATATTAGAATGCATAATTTCCCCCCAATTTTTAACTTATAAAGCACATAAAACATAAAATTCGTCATTTTAACTGCTCAAAGTATCCAGCTCAGTGGTATTAAGTTCATTCATATTGTTGTGCAGCCTGGCCAGTGTTGCTCAGTGGTTGAGTGTCCATCTATGAACCAGGAGGTCACGGTTCAATTCCTGGTGCGAGTACATGCCTGGGTTGTGGGCTTCATCCCCAGTGAGGGGCTTGCAGGAGGCAGCCGATCAATGATTCTCTCTCTCATCATCGATGTTTATCTCTCCCTCTTTCTTCCTCTCTGAAAGCAATAAACAATATATTTAAAAATATATATATTGTTGTGCAACCACCACCACCCTTCATCTCCAGGGCTCTTTTTACCTGGTAAAACTGAAACACTATACCCATTAAACAATAACTTCCCATTCTCCCTGTCTCTTTAATTATTTCATGTACGTGGATTCTTATTTCATTCTGTCTGTCTTATTTCATTTTGCATAATGTCCTCAAGGTTCATTCATTTGTAGCATGTGTCAGAATTTCCTTCCCTTTAAGGCTGAATAATATACCACATTTTGCTTTTCCAGGGACACTTGGGTTGCTTTCATGTTTTAGCTATTGTGAATAGTGCTGCTGTGAACGTAGGTGTACAAATACCTCTTCAAGACCCTATTTTCAGATCTTTTGGGCATATACTCAAAAGTGTAATTGTTAGATCATATATGTTACATAAAATTTCCAGGAACCAAGAAACCGGAAAAGAAGCTGACAACTCCATCATTACATTAAGAGTTTAAGAGAACTCACATATGAGGTGCATCTTGGGTGGCGGCAAGATGATATGGGTATCCTTTACACCTTTCCCTCCTGCCCCCCGGACTCTATTTTATAACTAAAAGCACAGAGTCTAGGTGCTGGAAAAGGAGTGTGTGTTTGTAATGTGAGCACGGTAGCAAAAGACCATGTTAAGTGGCTTATCTTAGTGCCCTTTGGGATTGATTTTTGTCGGTTGTACTGGTACACAGTTTTGATGACAGACATCTTATGCTAGGACATCTCAGATTTCCAGGAATTTCACATGATTTCTGGAACATCTATGATATATACAAATACAACATAAAGAAGGCTCAATGTTATTTATTTGACAATGTTTCCCATGCAATTTTAACAAACCAAATAAGCGCAATTAGTTTAATATTTCTCTGTTAAAAGAGAAGAAACAAATCTTTTAAGGTACTCCAGGGGTCCTTAGGAACACCCCCAAAGCCATTTCCAGATCAAGAAAAAGACCTAAATTTTGCATCAGCTTATTTTTTATATTTAAATTTACGTACTTAATTAAATTTATTCCAGTCTTATTCAGCTTGACCACACAAAATTTCCATTCTCAAGATAACCTTTTCCTAAACCTTCAACAACTTTTTTTTTTTTTACAATAGATTTTGTTGTTTTTCTTCTTTCTGATTTTGAAACAACCAGCCTCACTTTAGGACAAAATTACTTTTTTCCCTCTTAAAAATACATATTTATACCTTATAGTTTTTATTACTGAAAACATTATTTTTCTTTCATAACCTAGAAACGTAAGTTTGTAATATATATATATATGTATATATATATTTCAGAGAAGAAAGGAGAGGGAGAGAGAGAAACATCAATGATGAGAGAAAATCATTAATTGGCTGCCTCTTGCATGTCCCCCACTGGGGATTGAGACTACAACACGGGCATGTGCCCTGACCGGGAATCGAAGCATCACCTTCTGGTTCATAGATCGATGCTCAACCACTGAGCCACGCAGGCCAGACATAGAAACATGGGTTTTTACTGGCAAATATATTTCATAATTTTTTGAAACATATGCTTCCTCAACAAAGCATAAGAAGTATTTATTAACAGATCCAGATTTATTTTTTAGCTCTACTAAAGATTAATCTTAGATCACATGAACTTGAAAAACATTTTGGTTAGTTCTTGTATTTTTGAGAATTTTAGAATAGCCCACCCTTATAAGTGCTTGTTTGTTTTTTAAACCTATTAAGTAGTTTTTGTTTTATTTTTAAAGCAAATAATACCATCTGGAGGCAGAAAATGCTACACATCTACAAACATGTATCGACACATGAACATGCAAACAGACTTCATGGCTAGCATAAAAGAAGTGGTATCTATTCAAGGATCTTTTTTTTTTTAATATATTTTATTGATTTTTTACAGAGAGGAAGGGAGAGAGACAGAGAGCTAGAAACATCGATGAGAGAGAAACATCGATCAGCTGCCTCCTGCACATCAAATAATACCATCTGGAGGCACCCAGGTACATGCCCTTGACAAACATATGTATCGACACATGAACATACAAACATGCAAACACACTTCATGGCTAGCATAAAAGAAGTGGTATCTATACAAAGGATCTTTACTCCCCACTGCCTCTATCAGCCAGTCCTCATGCTAGCAAAGTTGTAGATATCTTTTTCTAGTTTCAGTTCTAATTTTCTAACCCTGGCTCCTGCCTCTAGCTGGGTGTTGCTGGCCAGCTGAACCACCCCTAAGAGGGGCCAGTCCGAAGCTGTGGCCATGTACTTTCCTTCCGGGCCAGTGTTTGTGTAATGTGTACTTCTTCAAACAAGCATAAGAATGGCCAGTGTTTTGGGGGTGTCCTTGTACTCACATGGCAGTCCACAGGAATCTAGTGTATGGGCCACCCTTCTCCACATGGAAGTAGGTGGTCAACCGGGGTTTCCCATGGATGCCTTTTTCCTAAAGGCCCGTTTCTTAGGTCTCCTGGCTGGCTCACCACTTGTTACTTACACTTTCCCAGGGCTGAGAGACTAGAGCACGAGGCTGACAACCCTGTCATTACGTTTATTAAGGCACCTGAGATACGAGGTGCATCTTGGGAGGTGGCGAGGTGACTTGGATAGCCACTGCACCTTCCACCCCCAGAGTCTGTGTTTTATAGTTAAAAGCACTGAGTCTAGGTGCTGGGAAAGAAATGATTGTTTAACGTAAGGGAAGGGGGACCTCCAGGAGCCCAGATGCCTTGGTGTCAGAGCTGGTTAAGAGACAGATAAGGTCACAAGTGGCTTACTACAGAGTTTTGTGTACATTCCCAAATGGGGTTGGGGGACAGCAGTCGATATGGCAGATTAGCTTCAAGACTGAGTCAGCTCTGTCCACAATGCTCAATATAGCAGTTCTACTTTTCATTTGTTGAGGTACCGCCGTTCTGTTTTCCACCAGAGGCTGTGCTGTTTTACTTTCCTACCAACTGCACAAGAGTTCCAATGAGAATGCATGTTTTAACAGTAAACATTTTTCTAGCAATGGAATAACTGGTTGAACACTTTTCCTTATGATAATAAAAACTACACATGCACTGCTTTGCTTTTTAAAAAAAATACGGTAATCACTACAGCATCTACATACACTTGAAAATGTGCTAAACATTCATTTATAGGCTAGTCTCTCATCTCGGTTTGTGGACCCCAAGCTGTAGCTTGAGGCCTACGAGCCAGAAGGACCTGGTTTGGAGATCCAGCTCTTTAGGGAGTTAAAAACTTACTCTGTTCACTGGTAGTTTTCAGTGCCTAGAAAAATGTCACTTAATGATGGTGCTCAGTAAATGTTCATTAAAAAATGAATCAATTGGATATGTGGCTCCTTGAAGGACACTCCTTGCTATTTTTGGCCCAGCTAATGTTGTTTTGTTTGTTTGTTTTTGTTTCTATTAGTTACGCAGGTTTGTAATATTAGGTAATGTGGTTTTGAAATCTATACATATTTATCATTTAATTCCATTGAAGAGTTTGATGTAGTTTCCAAACTTTGAATTAGTGATCTCAGCTCTATTTGCTATTTTGTTTTCTCAAGGCAATATATTCATTCTGTATATTTTCTTAAAAAAAAAAAAACCTTAACAACTGATCTCCTAGGTTTTCTCATCTCAGAGTAACAGCTCAGAGTAACAGCTCCATCTTCTGCTGCGAAAACTCTAAAAGCCCTTTGTTCTAGTATCATAGATTTACAGATGCTACATTTTAAAATACCAGAGTAGATAGATCTTGAAAGCTACCTATCTCCATTCTCTGTGGTTTTTATGTTGTTAGCAAGTAGGCGTCAGGATGTTTAGAACAAAACCCAGGGAATGTTTTAATCTCCCTTGGTTTGACCAAGATTTACACTCTTGAATATAAATCTGTGTAGCTTTTCTGCTTGGTTAAAAGTAGCAGCAAAGTAATTATTGACTTGAAACCTTTGACTTACTCCCTTATAGTTCATCAGTCCCTGATTTTTGTTTGTATATCTTTAATTTAATTTATTGGGGTGACATTGGTTATTAAAATTACATGGGCTTCAGGTATACAGTTCTATAAATCCCTGTTTTTTATGCAAAATAGCAAAGATGTAATTCTAAGAAATTGTATGACTAAATGATTTTGATTTTAAATCAGCTTTAAAGGTATATTTTATAACAGAGTAATTGAAGATTTGGCTTCATGTGTGCTTTTTATTGAGGCTATCAACTGAAAAACTGAATTTAAAGTTTTGCTCCATGGCAAAAATGATTTTCTGACTCCTCAAAGCTCAGTTTTAATTAAAGATCCTATGTCAAGTGGGTATTTGACGTAGGTGTGCAAAATGAGATGACTGATTTTCTGTCATTGTGTTTCTAAATAATAAGCTCTTCGGAATTTTTAAAATGTATCATTCACTTTTAAGTAATCAATATTTAAGTAATCAGTTGTGTAATTAGGCTGGAAACTAATTACACTTAGAAATGCTATTGGTAAAAACATTTTTGGAACATATTATTTTATTTCAGTGTCCTTTTGAGGAGTGCTGATTTTTAAAGACAGCCAAGTTGGGAGAATAATGGGGGTGATTCATTTTGTTTGAGGCTAAAACCAAACTATGACAAAATCATTAAACTGATTTGGGATTTGTCTTATGAACCACCTCTGAAACAGGTGATTCAAAAACATTTTGAGTGATTTCAGAGTCACAATGGAAATGACTAGGCATTGGAGATGATTGCTTTGAAGAGGGGCTTCCTCAGTGATACAAGTTCTGTTATGTTTAGAAACTTTTTCCCTTTATAGAAACACTAGAGGCCCGGTGCACGAAATTCGTGCATGGGTACAGTCTCTAGGCCTGGCCTGTGATCAGGGCCATCTTCCCTGGCAGCAGGCCCCGCCCCCCCTTCCCCCACCACCCCCCCCTGCCTCCACCTACCCCCAGTTCCCCATTCACCATTGGGCGATGGGAGCCTGCCAGCCAGGGAAAGGGACCGAGAGGTGGTCAGTGTGCCTCATAGTGACTGGTCGAGCGGTCGTTCTGTTCGTTCCACCATTAATGTCAATTTGCATATTACCCTTTTATTATATAGGATTCTTTCCACATACACCCCAACTACTTAATTATGAAAGATATAAAACACCCAGTAAAGTTTGAAAAATTATACAGTGGACAACCATACACCCACCACCTTGATTTTGTAATACTTTAGCAGAATAGTATTTTGCAAGAATAATATCTTGCAAAAGTAATATTTTGCTTTGTCTCTTCATCCATCAGTCTGTCTTATTTTTTGATGCATTTTATTGAAAGTCCATTGACTTCAAAGATCAGATGCAATGAACAGTTTTTCTTTGGAGGAACCAGGGCCTGCTCATTGAAGAGAATAAATTAGCTCCTGTGACCATCTGACCTTCTGTTTTTCAGGATGTGTTCAACATGGTAGTTGAAGTACCACGCTGGTCTAATGCAAAAATGGAGGTATGTTTGCCTTTGATAGTCCGATGTAGGATATTAGCTTTGATCTAGCCACACTGAATTGCTCAAGGGTTAACAGCTAAAGTCCAAGGTTACCTCTTTCTAGTCCCAATCTATTTTCCAGTTATAGTTCCCATTGCCTGCCAATCATTTCTCTGTGTTCCAACTAAACTTATCTATTTACAATTTACAAATATGCTACAGACTTCCCTTCCCGTGCATCTTCGCTTCTGGAGTTCCCAAAGCCTGGAATTATCTTTTTTTCCTCTGTCTTGTTCCTTTTAAGTCCATCATTGACTTCACAGAGTCAACAGGCTTTCCTTGGTCCCCCAGCCACAAATGATCTTATTGGAATTTCTGTTGCATTTTGTTAATTTCCTTCTGATGACACATAAGATATTTGGCTTTTTGTTAAGGATATTTTTTATGTGTTTTATGTCAATTAAGCTTTTTAAATGTAACCACACTTTGCATGTAATAGATACTCAAATGCTTTAGTAATTTTAAATGCTCTGAAGGAAAGCTGAATTTGGTAATATTTATTTTACCTTTTTAATAAAAATCTTTTATTTCTCAAATGTTAGGATTTATTCCAGGTAAGTTTAGTTTTGTTTTCTGGAATTACTAAATGTTCTTTTCCCCTTCTTGATAGTTCCTGTATACCTCAAATGTTTTCCACTTAAAGGCTGACTATGGAGAAACTTTTATTTCAAATTATAAAAATGTTACAGATAAAATATGTCATTACAGTGGAACTAGGGGGTGTGCATTCCATAATTCCCTCAAATCCTTATTTGAATAGTATTTTACATCCAAATATGCAATGATTAGAAAATTTTTATTTCAGATTGCTACAAAGGACCCTTTAAACCCAATTAAACAAGATGTGAAAAAAGGGAAACTCCGTTATGTTGCAAATGTGTTCCCTTATAAAGGATATATCTGGAACTATGGTGCCATCCCTCAGGTATGTCTCTGTGCAATTGTTAGAAATGTACTTTTTAGCTTACAAAAAAATGAACTTACTGCTGTTAGTAAAAAAATATTTCAACATCTTCAGGAAGTTTTTGCTATAATAGATTTTAAAAACATAAGAGGTAATTAATTTTAATACTTCCTTGAATAACTTTTCAAAATAAACTAAAAGGCAAATATTTACATTATTTAATTTCATGTTTGAAAGTTTGTTCTATTTTGAAATATTTATCTTTCTATATGGACTCGTTATAAATTATATAATTTCTTTCTTTACAGAATGAGTGGCAAATCTGTATTAAGAGAGACAGTGTAGGCTAATGGTGATAAAAGCACTGATTTTGGGTACCAAAAAGACTAGAGTTCAAATCCCAAGGCTGCCACTCCCTAAGTTACCTAGTTTGTCTCTGTTTCTTCCTTCCTGAGACATGAATATCTCCCCCTGAGATATTAATAGTACTCACATATGGCTCCCCCTGAGATATTAATAGTACTCACATATGGCTATTGTGAGGAATAAAGCACTTAGTTCACAGAGCTGTTGACCTGTATGTTTAGAGTCCTGATTCCCTCTTTAAGCTAAGCTCTCTGTGGTAAAGCAAAAATAGGATTTTCCTGAACAGTCAACTCTTTGAAGACGAGAGATAATCTGCATTGTTTACAAATTTATCCCCAGTGCAATGTCAGTGTTATGTAGTAGGTCCTTATGTAGCATTTGAGTGAAGAATCACTAAAATCATGTCTATTATGAGTAATCAACAGATTAAATTCTAGTTTGGTTAGGCTTTCAGTCCACAGGCCGCCGCTCTATCCACTGAGCCAAACCGGTTAGGGCTATGTTTGTTTTTTTGATTAATTATTTTAGAGAGAGGAGGGGAAAGAGAGAGACAGAGAAACATTGATTGGTTGCCTCCTGTACGTGCCCCAACTGGGGATTGAATCCGCAACCTAGATATGTGCCCTGACCCTGTCTGAGAATTGAACCCGTAACCTTTTGGTGTATAGGACAATGCTCTAACCAACTGAACCACCCAACCAGGGCAGGTGGTTGATTTTTGTTTGTTTTAAATAGGATCTTTGCCTGTTCTATTAATTTTTAAAATATTTTTAATTGATTTTTAGAGGGAGAGGAAGGAAGAGGGATAGAGAGACAGAAACATCGATGAGAGAAACATCGATATCAATCGACTGCTTCTTGCATGTCCCCTACTGGGGATCGAGCCCACAACCTGGGCATGTGCCCTGACCGGAATTGACTGATGACCTCTTGGTTCCTGGGTTGACGTTCAGCCACTGAGCCACACTGGCCGGGTGATCATTGCCTGTTTTAAAGCTTAAATGTAGTTTAGCATTCTATGCAAAATAGGAACCCTGGCATTTAATTAAAATTATGATGTGTAGTTAAGATTCTTAAATGTGAGTAAAAGTTTTTCTAAATGAGAAAAAATAGCTGAAGATTACTATTTTTGCAGAAAGACTCATGTGATGTTTTAATGTCAACATGATCCATTCTGTCAGTAGCATGTATAGGAACAATATGCTCTAAGCATTTTTCCCCCCTAGACTTGGGAAGACCCTGGACACAATGACAAACACACTGGTTGTTGTGGCGACAATGACCCAATTGATGTCTGTGAAATTGGAAGCAAGGTAATGTCATCTGAAATGTTTTTCTTTAGTGCTAAGATGATATTAATGAAATATATAAAGTTCATCCTTTAAAAAATATTATGAATAATGATGTCACTTGAGGTGATTAGAAGCTTCCATTTCTTTTAAAGCATTTGTATATTTAAACCTAGCCTAGAAAAAGATGTACATATAAGTGTATATGGCTATACATACAGGGTATCCCCCAAAATTATATACACTGCGAATGATTATAAAGTCAGTGTTTATTTTTACTAAAAATAAGTGAAAATTAAGTGAGTTATCAGCTGTTAAAGTGTGTATACATTTTTTAAAATATATTTTTTATTGATTTCAGAGAGGAAGGGAGGAGAGATAGAAACATCAATGATGAGAAAGAAACATTGATCAGCTGCCTCCTGCACGCCCCCTACTGGGGATCGAGCCTGCAACCCGGGTATATGGCCTTGACCAGAATTGAACCCGGGACGCTTCAGTCCACAGGCCAACTCTCTATCCACTGAGCCAAACCGTCTAGGGCCGTGGTTGGCAAACTGTGGCTCGCGAGCCACATGCGACTCTTTGGCCCCTTGAGTGTGGCTCTTCCTAAGCCTTAGGAGTACCCTAATTAAGTTAATAACAATGTACCTACCTATATAGTTTAAGTTTAAAATATTTGGCTCTCAAAAGAAATTTCAATCGTTGTACTGTTGATATTTGGCTCTGTTGACTAATGAGTTTGCCAACCACTGGTCTAGGGCAAAAGTGTATATATATTTTTGGCAGACACCCTATATATGTGGAAGAAGTAGACATGTTCTGCTTTAGAAGGCAGATGACTGGTCAGTAGATGAAGGGTACTAAGAAGCAAATGTCATCTCAACACAAGGCAAACCTTGCAATTGACTCAAGCCCAGTAACCTCACGAGTTGGAGATTGATGGTAGGGACTCCTATATCAAGAAGGGTTGCTTTAAGATTCTAACTGTAGTTATATATCTTTATGAACTTTCTCAGGCTCGGGAAAATAGTAAGCAACTGAAAAGAAACTTGTCATTGAGTTTCTTAAGTCATCAAGTTCAGTCATATTGTATGATGTCTAACTCAGTGGCTTCTATAAAATAAAAGCACATTAAAATATATATTTGAAACAAAATTATGGGGGGGGTTTGGCACAATCAATGACCGTTGAAAGAAAGATTAATTATCCTAAATCATGTTACTGATTTTCTTAGGACCTATAAGTAGTAAGGGTACATTTTCAACTTTGATAAGACTGATGGGCAGTTACTTGTTTAGCTCTTAAAAAACTGCTTAAAGGAACAATCTTAAGGTAAGTTTGCAGAAACTTGGTGTCTTCCTTATTTCCTACTATCCATCAAGTAAAGTTTTTATTCCAAAGTTTCATTCTGTGGTATTGTCCTGACTGTGGTTATTGACTCTCAGGTCTGTGCAAGAGGTGAAATAATCCGGGTGAAAGTTCTGGGCATATTGGCTATGATTGACGAAGGGGAAACTGACTGGAAAGTGATTGCCATCAATGCAGATGATCCTGATGCAGCCAATTATAATGGTAAGAAAGTTTAAAGAGTCTGAGGTATTTGTGCTTAGCCTATAACGACAGAATTACAAGCTCATGCCTTCAAACTCTTAAAGAATGGAGGAGCAAAACATTTGACAAAGCATTGCTATTTCTAATGCTGAACTTCTATAATTAACTGAGTAAACTTTCTCCTTCATTCCAGGAAAGACAAAAATCTGATAGTTTGTGTTTACTGTTTTCTCCTTTCCTTCCTCATATGCTTGCCCTCAGTAGGTCTATTTATTTATTTTTAAAATTTTGTTTTAATTGAAATATAATTCACATGCCATTAGAAGTCATCATTTTTTTTAAATGTTTATATCATCACAGAAAGGTTTATGGACAGCACAGAAGAGTCCCTAAGGATTTCCTTTAAAAAAATTTTTTTTTAATATTTCTATTACAGTTGACGTACAATATTATCGTTTCAGGTATACAGCCCAGTGATTAGACATTTATATAACTTACAGAGTGATCACCCCAATAAAACTAGAACCCATTTGACACCATACATAATTATTAAAATATTGACTGTACTGTACTTTTTATTTTATTTTTAAAAATATATTTCTATTGATTTCAGAGAGGAAGGGAGAGGGAGAGAGAGATAGAAACATCAATGATGAGAGAGAATCATTGATCAGTTGCTTCCAGCACACCCCCTACTGGGGATTGAGCCTGCAACCTGGGCATGTTTCCTTGACCGGAATTGAACCCGGGACCCTTCAGTCTGCAGGCGGACACTCTATCCACTGAGCCAAACCAGCTAGGGCTGTACTGTACTTCTTACATCCCCATTACTACTTGTAACTACCAATTTGTACTTCTTAATCCCTGTACCTTTTTCATCCATTCACTCAACCCCTTCCCACCTGGCAACCATCAAAGTGTTTTCTGTATTTTTGAGTTTCTGTTTTGCTTGTTTATTTTGTTTTTTAGATTCTACACATACATGACATCATATGGCATTTGTCTCTCTCTGATTTACGTCCCTCAGCACAGTGCCCTCTAGGTCCATTCATGTTGTTGCTGATGGCAACAATTCATTCTTTTTTGTGGCTGAGTCATAGTCCATTGTATATCTACACTACTTCTTTATCCATTCATTTATTGCTGCAATAAACATATGGGTGCATATGTCTTTTTGAATTAGTGTTTTGTATTTCTTTGGATACATACCCAGAAGTGGAATTACTGGCTCCTTCTTTGTCTCTTATATAGTCTTTCTTTTAAAGTCAATTTTGTCTGGTATAAGTATTGCTATCCCAGCTTTTGTTTGTTCCCAAAATATCTTTTTCCAACTCTTTACTTTCAGTCTTTGTCTTTCTATCTGAAATGAGTCTCTTATAGACAGTATATGTAAAGGTCTTGTTTTGTTATCCATTCAGCTACTGTGTGTCTTTTGATTATTTAATCCATTTAAAGTAATTGTTGATAGATATGTAGCTATTGCCATTTTATTCATACTTTTCTTCCTTTTTCCTCCTCCTCCTCCTCCTTTCTCCTTCTTCTCCTTATTGGCCCTTTAACATTTCATGTAATACTGGTTTAGAGGTGATGAACTCTTTTAGCTTTTTCTTGTCTGAGAAGCTCTTTATCTGTCCTTCAATTCCAAATGATAGCTTTTGCTGGGTAGAGTAATCTTGATTATGGGTTCTTGCTTTCATCCCTTTGAATATTTCATGCCAGTTCCTCTGGCCTGAAAAATTTCTGTTGAGTAATAAGCTGACAGTCTTATGGGAGCTCCCTTGTAGGTAACTAACTGCTTTTCTCTTTGTCTTTAACTTTTGGCATTTTATTTGTGATGTGTGTTGGTGTGGGCTTCTTTGGGTTCATCTTGTTTGGGACCTTTTTTGCTTCCTGAACTTGTGTGTCTTTTTCCTTCACCAGGTTAGGGAAGTTTTCAGTCATTATTTCTTCAAATAGGTCCTCAATCCCTTGCTCTCTCTTTTTCTTCAACACTATTAATTCCAGGACATTTCTCCACTCCAGCAGGAAGCCCCATATCCATTAGCAGTCACACACTGCTCCCTCTTCCCTCAGTCCCTGGCAGGCACTTACCTATTGTCTTATCCCTATGGATTTTCCTATTCTGAACATTTCACATAAATGAGTTCATATGATGATATGTCTGGCTTGCTTCACTTAGCATGTTTTCAGGGTTCATCTATATAGTAACATGTTCAGTACTTCATTCCCCTTTTTTGGCAGTATAACTAACATTACACAAAACTTACTATTTTAGCCCTAACCGGTTTGGCTCAGTGGATAGAGCGTCGGCCTGCGGACTGAAAGGTCCCAGGTTCGATTCCGGTGTTGTACCTTGGTTGCATGCAACATCCCCAGTAGGGGGTGTGCTGGAGGCAGCTAATCAATGTTTCTCTCTCTCTAATCAATGTTTCTAACTCTCTATCCCTCTCCCTTCCTCTTTGTAAAAAAAAAATCAATAAAATATATTTTTAAAAAAACTTACTATTTTAACTATTTTGAAGTATACAATTAGGTGGCATTTAGTACATTCACATTGTTGTGCAACCATCACCATTATCTAGTTCCAAAACATTTTCATCACTCCAGAAGGAAACTTTGTACCTTTAAGCAATCACTTCCTATTTTTTCCTCCTCCCACTAATATGCTTTTTGTCTCTATAAATTTTCCTATTGTGGATATTTGACATTTCTCAATCACAATTGTGTAAGCTAGGAGATCTCACAGCACTATTATTCTGTCATTACCAGGTAGTGCCAAGAAAGGTTTTTTATCTTGTTAAGATTTGTCTTAAGATTAATAAAAGAAATATTTCTCTTCTTATTGGAAAGAGCATTGGACCAGGTGCTGAGATGTGGATTCTTTGACTTATTAGCTGTATATTAACTTGGTAACGTTCATAATTATCTGTAAATACCATTTTGTGGGGAAAGCAAATGAGAGACCGTAGGTGAACAGGGTTTGTGAAATAAAAAGCACCATCTGAAAGGAGAATAAACTTTCATCTTCTACATGAGAAATATTTTTTAAATATCCCAAATAAAATTGTTTTTTAGAGCATTTATAGAAAATTGGTATTATGACCAATATCACTTTGACCCACTTCTGAGTGTCTGTTCCATGGAATTCCTCATAAATATATGCAAAGATGTATGTACAATGGGGTAAATTTTTTGGAACTGAGCCCTTTAATTTGTGGGATCAGACGCTAATTCCAGTAGTGTCATTATTAAATTGAATTGTTGGACACTCACTTGGTGCCTGAAGAATAGGAGAATTGGTCAGAAAATTTTTTGGGAAATACCCCATACTTGGGATTTTTGGATTTTCAGATTAGTTCTGTATTACGTGACACATTTTATGTGAATTATTGTAAGTTCCTTGAAATTGATCAGTGTTTAAACAGTTCCCAGTTCACTTTGTAAACTTCTCATACCTTTAGTGGTACTATGAAACAAAATGCATGAAATTTCTTTAACTGTGTGTGATATAAATTGGACTTAAAGTTATTTTATACAAACACCAGTAAACTTTTGTTGTTAAATGTATTCCTCCTTCCAAAAACACTTTTTCTAATTGATATTTTTAGCACTTGTATCTTCTCTTTGCTTACATTGAGGGGCAGCTTGATCATTTAAAGTTGATGGATGTACAGAAACTTTAAAAAGTTTTTTTAAACAGAACACTTTGCTATTGGCCAGAACAAAAGCATGGTGATATAGAATGTCAATACTGCACTATAGTTAGAATAGTCTAGTCACATTTACTGTGTAACGCATCAGTGGTCATCAGTGTCATCCATTTTTCTTGTCTTTAGTATGTAATTGTGGTGAATTGAGGCTCTGAATAGAGCCTCAACCTGTCTTTCTTAGTATCGTCTGTCCGTCTCATAGAAATTGTCCAAACGTTTGCCAAACTGTTCTTTCATTATGTAGCTCCAATCATTTCTCCTTCTTCTTATCTAATAGAAGTTACTATTGTACTGGTTGTTCTCTGACCATGTAGTGTCAGAGGTATTCTAAGACACTAGTTTATTTCCTTTTAGTGTGTATATGTGTTCCCTTCTCAACAAGGTGGTTAGCTCTAATGTGATCTTGAACTTTTTTCATAACCATCCCATAGTTCTTTCAAAGGAAAGATGTACTTGATATTTTATCACATAAATAATTATGTATGCACCTTGGAATCTGCTTATTCTCTTCTAAGATATTAATGATGTCAAGCGGCTGAAACCTGGCTACCTGGAAGCTACTGTGGACTGGTTCAGAAGGTACAAGGTTCCTGATGGAAAACCAGAGAACCAGTTTTCTTTCAATGCGGAATTTAAAGATAAGGTAATGTGTCATTCAGACTGTGGCTTTAAGTCTGTTTGTATCGAGACTTATAATTTAACCTACAGTTACCATTTAAAGACTATATGATCATTTAAAAAATGTCTAAAGACATTGACTTGATGTTGATTTATTCATTTGAATGTTTTCTTCCATTTTGACTCAAGGAAATGATTCAAAGAGACAAAGTTATCAGGCTTTGGGAAAATGGTGATACAAGATAAGAATACTTTTCTAACATCATAATGCATATCTCTTCAAATTATAGGATTTTGCAACTGCCATTATTAAAAGCACTCATGACTATTGGAGAGCATTAGTGACAAAGAAAACTGATGGAAAAGGAATCAGTTGGTAAGCACTCACTCTTTTCATGTTTAACACATAAAGCAAACCAGCTTGCTCCAAAGGTTTTAACAACCATAACACAGTGTCATCACTTCCACGTAGAAAAGAGCTTCTGTTGCTGAATGTATTCTTCCTTCCAAAGATATTTTTCCTAGTTGATATTTTTAGCACTTGTGTCTTCTTTGTCATTCAGTGTTCAAGTGAGTGGGAAGGTAGATAAACACTTGAAAAGTGACCATAAGATACCTGAAAAGGACAAACTAAAACTGTCAGGGGGACAGTGAGATCAGAACATTCTGAGGGTAAGAGACTGGGAAAGGCATTAAGGAGGCAGAATGGAATGGGTAAAATAAGGTGGAGTGCTAGGGTATGTACTCTCTGATATGAATGTGTAAGGTGTATCACAAATAACCAGTATCTACCATGCACACAACCTTTACTGCCACTAATAGTAGGTGATATTTACTGAGCAGTAAATGTTTGCAAAGCATGTAACAGAATAGGCAGATTAAACTTAACCAGAGTCATCCCAAAGTGTTTTCAGAGTTAAGACTCGTACTCAAGTCTATCTGGCTCCCGATGTTCAGGGCAATATACTTCCTCTGAGGTCTTTAAAGATTTGTAAGAGAATGTCCACTATCATCTCTTAACTAATGTTCTGGAAATAGTAGCCAATGAAGAAATCATGTGTTTTGATGTAGGAATATTGAAAAGGGGAAGCATATTGTGGCAGATGATATGATTGTGTACCCAGAAAACCCTAGAAAAAATAAAGAATTCAGTAAGGTGGCCGATTACAGAATGAATATGTATGTACAGTTGACCCTTGAACAATATGGGTTTTAATTGCTTGGGTCCACTTACATGTGGATTTTTTTTTTTTTTCAATGAATTCATACAGTACTGTAAATGTTACTTTCTCTTCCTTGTGATTTTCTTAATATTTTCTTTTCTCTAAGCTTACTTTATTGTAAGAATACATATAACATACAAAATATGTGTTAATAAACTTTATGTTATCAGTAAAGCTTCTGGTCAACAGTACTGTTAGTTAAGTTTTGGCGGAGTCAAAAGTTACATGTGGCCCTAGCCAGTTTGGCTCAGTGGATAGAATGTCAGACTGCGGACTTTGTTGCAGACTCCTCCCTGGCCCGGGCCCAGGTCGGGGCTTGTGCAGGAGGCAAACAATCAACGTGTTTCTCTCACATAAATGTTTCTCTCTGTCTTTCCCTCTTTCTTCTATTCTCCCTAAAAATCAATGGAAAAATATCCTTGGGCAAGGATTAACAACAACAATAACAACAACAAAAGTTCTATGTGGATTTTTCACTTTATGGGGGTGGAGTTGGTGCCCCTAAGCCCCGTGTTGTTCGAGGGTCAAATGTATAAGTGAGATCATACGGTATTTATCTTTTTCTGTCTGACTTATTTAACTTAATGTCTTCAAGGTCCATCCATGTTGTTGTAAATAGCAAGATTTCATTCTTTTTTTTATAGCTGAATAATATTCCATTTTTACAGCTGAATAATATGACGTTTTCTTTACCCATTCATTCATCAATGGACATTTAGGTTGTTCCATGTCTTGGCTATTATAAATAACTAGGGCCTCAGGGCACGAATTTGTGCACCTTGAAAGGACTGTGGGCCGCAAGGCTGCAGTGGGCATAGGGGCAGGTCTCGGCCCATCCTCCATCCCCCATCCAGCCCCTCCCACCGAGGCACCCGGTCCCCTGCTGCTGCCGCTCTCACGTGCTGACGCCGCCGGCCCCGCTTGCACCCGCTGACGGCACGGAGCAGTGACTGGGGCCAGCGCCATCAGCGGGTGCGAGCAGTGGCTGCTGCCCTGATTGCCCCTCAGGAGCAGAGGAGGTGGAGCAGCCCTCAGGGGCAATCAGGGCCAGCAGCCGCAGCTCGCACCTGCTGACAGTGCTAAGCCATCGGGCCGGCACCAGGCGCCGCCAGCAGGTGTGAGTGCTGGGCGGTACCGTGGCATGCGCGGGAGCAAAGAATTTTCAGTAACCACCAGAAGCTTGGCCCCGATGACAGCGACCGGCGCCCCGCCTTGGTCTGGCGCCCCTGCTCACCTGCTCCACCATCCTGCCTCTGCCAGATGTTCCACGTGCACCCCCTGGTGGTCAGCACACGTATAGCAACTGGTTGTTCAGTTGTTCCTCCATTCGGTCTATTTGCATATTAGAATTTTAACTATATAGATGCTTCATATATAGTGCATATATGTTTTTGAATTAGTATTTTCAGCAGGTAAATACCCAGAAGTAGAATTCTAGATCATATGTTAGTTCAAGTTTGTTTTTTGAGGAATCCCTACACTGTTTTCCATAGTGGCTGTGTACATTTCCCACCAACAGTGCACAAGGATTCCCTTTTCTCCACATTGTTGCTGACACTTTTTGTCGCTTGTCTTTTTGATGACAGTAATTTTAACAGGTGTGAGATTTTCTCATTGTGGTTTTGATTTGCATTTCCCTGATGATTATTGATGTTGAACATCTTTTCAGGTAGCTTTTTGGTATATGGGACGACGCTCCAACCAACTGAGCCACCTGGCTGGGGCAATGGGACTATTTTCTTAATTTCTCTCTGATAGTTTGTTATTAATGTATAGAAGTGCAACAGTTTATGTATACCGATTTTGTATCCTGCAACTTGAGTAAACCTGAGGTTCAAGTAAATTGAACTTGAATCTCCTCTGGCCTACCATCTTCAACTTGTTTTTTAACTCTTGAGAGAAGTTTTGTTACTGCAACTCATGACTACCTTTGTTTTATTTAATAGCATGAATACCACAGTGTCTGAGAGCCCCTTCAAGTGTGATCCCGATGCTGCCAAAGCCATTGTGGATGCTGTACGTAAATGCTTCCTTGAAAAAGGACAAATATGGTGCTAAATGGGGAGGGAAAGTACTGCTTTCACCAAGTACTTGAGTACCTCCTGTATGCATATTACTGTGTGAGGTCTTGAAATTACAAAACATGAACACACCTAAGCAGACATTTGACTGCATGTAAAAGCTGAGTAGTGTCCTAGTCCACCCTAAATTGGGCAGGTAGCAAACTAGTACAATTTGTACTACTAACCCAAGTGCCTGTGTACCTATTATAAGCCATGTTTCACAAAAGAATCAATGGCAACTTACTTGTCAAGGTCAGTTAAAGTTATCACATTTTAGGTACTGTTGCAGGGGCGGTTCATAATCCTAGAAAAGACTTTCATGTAAGGCAGTAAAATTTTTTTAAATATATTTTTATCGATTTCAGAGAGGAAGGGAGAGCGATAGGTAGACACACCAATGATGAGAGAGAATCATTGATCGGCTGCCTCCTGCATGCCCCCCACTGTGGATTGAGCCTGCAACACAGGCCTGTGCCCTGACCTGGAATCAAACTGTGACCTCCTGGTTCATAGGTTGGTGTTCAACCACTGAGCCACGCCAGCCGGGCTAAGACAGTAAACTCTTTATCAAAGACATAATTTTGTTTTTGTACTATTTTTTATCTGATTCAGATTAACTAATATATTTAACTAGATCATCTTAATTTATTCTCGTTTACAATATTAAATAAGGAAAACAAAAGAAAATTAGGTCTGATTTTGTACTGCTTTTTAATTGAGTAAAAGGAAAAATAATTTAGTGATGAAGCCAATAATGTATATTTGTCTTTATGTATGAATCCTGACAAAGTTGAAATGAATAAGAAAAATTGGATAGGGAAAGCTATTGGTTGGCAATCATAACTTTTCAATGAGAACACTCTGCCTACATTTTATATATATATATAATATATATTAAATCACTATGTGTGTAAATCAGTTTTTATTCTTTATTTCAAAATACATTTAGTTTTATTTTTTATTCTCATGTATGTCATTTAAAGAGGCTTGAGTTTGTTAACATTTTTTAGCAGTAGAGCAAACCTTGCATTCCTATAAATTATTATTTTTTGAACCTAAAAATTAGGATAGTTGTCTTCTGTTCAGATTCATTTTCATTTTTGTCAGTATACTTTTTTTAGTTTGTTAAAAAAGAATTAGACTAATGTATTTTAACATTTTATTTTAGTTACCACCACCATGTGAATCTGCCTGCACAATACCTGCAGATGGTAAGAACAATATTCTAGTAAAATTACATTAAACCTTGTGTGAATGTGTGGGAAAATTATATCTATAGATAAATCTTACATACCACATCCATACAAAGAAAGAGAAGGAAGGGGAGAAGAAACATTTGTAGAGTTTCATAATGTATGTAGGAAGAAAGATGGTTGTACATACCACCTTCGGTGCCGACCCTAATCACAGCCGTTTCCACACCATGACCCACTCTCTGGGTTCTGGGTACATGCTTCGTGGACACTGGAGCAGGCTGGGCTCTGGGTCCCCTTCTGGCCATAGGCTGCTTCACCCAGAACTGAGTTCTCTCCCCCTATAGATTTAGAATTCGCTATCAGGTTCCTCTAATGAGAATCACATGTTTATATGATTAGTATCAAGAGTAACGAAGCCTAAAAGAAAACACTGGTAAATTGCCTGTTTTTGCCATAGTGAAACTTGCAAGTCTGAAAGTTTGTTTTAAGGTCATCAATAGTAGGATACATTAAAGCAAGTATATTCTTCTTTGTTGTATGTTGGGTATATTTTTATTCTTAATGAGGGTTCTAATTTGTTTTTCTTTTCTCTGAATATAGTGGATAAATGGTTCCATCACCAGAAAAACTAAGGAAATTTCTCTGGAATACAAGCTGATATTACTGCATCATACTCATCTGGAAGTATTAGATGCAAAAGTAGTGGCTTTTCTAAGCTTTAAATTTATAGAACTAATCTAACTAACAAAGGAAATTCTGCTGTGACCAATCCAATATATTTAGTGTGTTATCCATATGAAAGCATTTTTCATCTCAGCTAAGATAACTTTTAGCACATGCTTAAATATCAAAGCAGTTATTGGAATTTGGAAGTCATTTGTGAATAAATGTGCGAGATATTGGATGTATATGTTTACTATGTGTTAGAAAATAAAATTATTTTGCTGAAATTTGTCTTATATTTTCATTTTAATCTAAAGCCAGACATTACCAAGCAGGCATGGGTGCTATTTGTTGTTTGTTTTCTATCAATGAAAATTTAATAACTTTTAGACTAAAACTGATATTACTTTTAGGAATCTGAGAGTGAAATTCCTTATTTTTACAGTAGTCTTGATACTGTGCTCTTGCCCAATTCCTAGCATCCCACTGTAAAAGCAGAAGCTTTTAAATTTATATCATATTAGCAGAAAACACAACCTCGCTCACCTTTGGAAGTGATATAGTTACCTTCTTTACTTCTCTAGGCAACTAATTGAACTCTTAAGTTATTTACATTATTCTCTGAGTTATCAGCCAGAATAGCTTTGTGATTAAGTTCATGGGCTGTGGACCTATACAGACCTGAATTTTTAATCCTAGCCCATCTACTTATTAATTCTGTAATCTTAGGTCAGTTCCCACCCAACTTCCGTTCCTTCATTTGTAAAATTGAAGAGATGAGCCTGGCTGGCATGGCTCAGTGGTTGAGCATCGACCTATGAACCTGGAGGTCACGGCTCGATTCCCAGTTTGGGCATATGCCCGGGTTGCGGGCTCAAATCCCAGTGTGGGGCGTGCAGGTGGCAGCCAATCAATGATTCTCTCTCTTCTTTGATGTTTCTACCTATCTCTCCCTCTCCCTTCCTCTCTGAAATCAATAAAAATATATTTTTTAAAAGTGAAGAGATGTTATTCACATTATGTATTAAGCATTAACACACTTTGAAATTTTTAATGAAATCATTGTGTCACAGGCAGCTGTAAGAAATAATAGAGAGATTCTCTCTATACCTTGCCTAGATTCCCCCAAAGATAAGATTTTGTAAAACTATAGTATGATATCACAGCCAGGACATTGGCTTTTATTCAATCCATCGATCTTATTAGGATTTCCCAGTTTTATACTCATTTGAATGATATATTCTATACAAGTCTTGCATCCTACAAGATGCTGGTTCTTTCCTGTTTTTCTCTGAAAGTGTTATAGTGTTACATTTAAGTCTATGGTCCATTTTGAGTTTGTTGTTGTATAAGGTGTTAAGGTTTAAGTCAAAGTTCTTTTTTTTTTCCCCAAGGACGTTCAGTTGCTTCAGTACCATTTGTTGCAAGTTTATTCTTCATTAAATTGGTTTTGTGCTTCTGTTAAATATCAGATGCATGGGTCTGTTTCTGGGTCCCCTGTTTGTTCCACTGATCTATGTGTTTGTTCCTCTGTCAGTACCACACTGTCTGGATTTCTGTAGCTGCATGGTAAGCCTTACTACCACATAGAGTACTTCCTCCCACTTTAGTCTCTATCAAGAATTGTTTAACTAGTTGTTTAAATGTGCCTTCTCATTTAAAATTTTTTGCTATCTTCTCTATTTATTTATTTATTATCCTCACTCAAGGATATTTTCCCATTGATTTTTAGAGAGAGTGGGAGAGAGAGGGAAAGACAGAGAAAACACATTGATTGGTTGCCTCCTGCACGTGCCCTGACTAGGGCCCAGGCGGGGAGGAGCCTGCAACCAAGTTACGTGCCCTTGACCTGAAACGAACCAGGGACCCTTCGGTCTGCAGGCCAATGCTCTATCCACTGAGCCAAACCAGCTAGGGCTAATTTAAAAATATATATATATATTTATTGATTTCAGAGAGGAAGGGAAAAAGAGAGGTGCGATAGAAATATCAATGATGAGAGAGAATCATTAGCTGCCTCCTTCACTCTCCTTACTGGGGATTTGAGCCTGCAACCCAGTCATGTGTCCTAACTGGGAATCGAACCCTAACTTCCTGGTCCATAGGACGAAGCTCAACCGCTGAGCCTCACCGGCCAGGCCCAATTTACATTTTAAAATAAAACTCTCCTATGTCTATTGTTTATGCCTATAAAAAATCTTGCTGAGATTATGATAAATCAATTTTAGCCATGTGCTTATTTTCCTAATGTGTTTCCGTTAGTGATTTCTAGTTTGATCCCATTAAGATCAGAAAACACATTGTATGATTTCAATACTTTTTATATTGTTAAGGTTGTTTTATGGCCCAGAATGTGGTCTGATTTGGGGAATGCTCCACAGGTGCTTAGAAAAAAATGTGTATTTTGATGGTGTTCGGTGGAATATTACATTTATGTTAACTAACTCCTGTTGATTGATGGTAGTGTTCAGATCCTCTATATCCTTGATTTTTATTAGTTTTATCAGTTGCTGAAAGGAAGGTGTTGAAGTCCTCAGTGACGACTAGATTTGTCTGTTTCCCTTTCCAGCTCTATCAGGGCGTGTGTGTGTTTTCATGTATTTTGAGGTTGTGTTGTTTGGTGTGCACACACTTTGGATCTTTATATCTTCCTGGTGGATTGATTCTTATATTGTTATGTAATGTTCCTCTTTGTCTTTAGTAATTTTCTTTCCTCTGTAGTCTACCTTATCAGAGATTAATATAGACACTTTTAAAATTAATGTTGGCAAGATCTATCTTTTTCTATTATTTTTCAACCTACATATGTTGTTGAATTTGAAGTAAATTCTTATAAGTATCATGTAGTTGAGTTGTGTGTGTTTTTTATCCACTCTTTTAATTGATATGTTCAGACCAGCGATTTTCAACCTTTTTCATCTCATGGCACACTTCATAAACTAATTACTAAAATTCTGTGGCACGCCAAAAATAGGTATAATTTTGATTCAGTCACACTGATGGCTATTGTGTTGGCTGTTGCCATTTTTTATTTGACAATCTGAGGGAAAAGAGGCCAGTGTCCCTGACTAAATAGTCAGGTGTTGCATGTTTTAAAATATTTTGTGGCACACCGGTTGAAAATCACCAATTTAGACCATTTTCATTTAAGATAATTATTGCCAGATTAGCACTTTATCCTGTTTGGAGTTTGCTTGGCTTCTTGTGTCTGTAAGTCTGTGTCTTTCACCAAATTTGAGAAAAATGTTCAGCCATATTTCTTCAAATACTCTTTCTGCCCTAGCCCCACTCTCCTCTCTTCTAAGACTCTGAGGATATGATTGTTGGGTCTTTTGTCATTGTCATTGTCTCACCCCATCCCCCCCCCCCCCAGACTATTTTCTCTTTTTCAGACTGGGTGAGTTCTATGGTTTTGTCCTCATTCAACGAGTATCCTGTCATCTCCACTCTAATATTGAAACTATCCAGCAAGTCTTTTATTTCTGTTCCTGTATTTTTCAGTTCTACTATTAACATTGGTTCTTTTTTTGTAATTACTATTTCTTTGCTAAGAGATTTTCTATATTTTAGCTTATTTCAAGGGAATTTCTAATGACTAATTGCAGTTTTAACACAGATGCTTAAAAATTCGTGTAAATATTCATCTTATCATCCATTGATTGTCTTTCCACATTCAAGTTGTGCTTTTCCTAGTTCTTAATCTGATGGGTGATTGTTAATAGTGCTCTAGACATTTTGTCTGTTGTGTTAGGAGACTCTAGGTCAGGGGTGGGCAAACTTTTTGACTCGAGGGCCACAATGGGTTCTTAAACTGGACCGGAGGGCCGGAACAAAAGCATGGATGGAGTGTTTGTGTGAACTAATATAAATTCAAAGTAAACATCATTACATAAAAGGGTACGGTCTTTTTTTTTTTTTTTAGTTTTATTCGTTTGCCCACGGCTGCTCTAGGTCCTATTTAAATCTTCCGTTTTTGCAGGCATCACCCTTCTTGGGTTAGCAGGTGTGTTTTGGTCTGCTTTTGTGGTTTTGAGGGCAGGATGATTTTCAGCAGCTTTGCAGGTTTATTTTGGGCCACGTGGTTTCCCCGTGGTTTCCCCGGTGCTGCTGGGGCTTCTGTTGATCCCTGCAGGTGCTACCTGTGGGCAGGTAGGTATCTTTTGGTGGAGGAGGGGTGTGGAGGTCCCCCAACTGGTCCTCCCAACCCACCCCTCTGCCCTAGTGCCTCTGGATAGGGAGGAGTCTTAGGCCAAAGGGATAAAGAGGCTTCCTGAGTCAGTCCACCCACTACAGCTGGATTTCTCCCTCAGGCTCAGCCCCATCCCTCACCTACCCCCACCCCTTGCCGTTACCTAGATAACTCTTGGAAAAGGGGAGTCTCAGGCCTGTGTGGAAGGAGAGTGCCTCCCCTCTCCCCTGGGGCTTATTTCTAGCTGGGCTCCCATGGATCCCCGGTTGCCAGGGGGTGGCATGCTCACCAGAGGGACCCCATTCTCTACTGGGGAGGAGTGAGCCCCTGGGCTGCCTTCTGTTGCTGGCTCTCCTGTTGCTGCTTCTACTCTAATTCCTTCCTTGTCTCACTGTCCCCAGCTTTAAGAAAGGTACTCTCAACGTCACCTGGACTCACATTGTGAGATCTTTCCTGCACAAAGTCAAGAACCCACACACTGCAGGCCAGCCTCGGGCAGACCTGCTCCAGGCTGGTCTCCATCTGGTGACAGTGATGTTTAAAACCACTGTCCCAGTCATAAATCTCAGAGATCCACAAAAGGTTTCTCAGAGGGTTGTAATATAATCAGTATGAGGTACCACAGTGACTGTTGTGGACAAAAGGGGCCACATGCTAACCTGACAACCTCAGGGAGGAGACCTTCATGGCAGTCTTGCAAACTCAGAGACCTAAAGTAACCATAAAGGATGGTCTGAAATTAAACTTAAACTAAAAGCAGTTATGGTGGGTAGTCATGTCCCAGGCTGGTATCTTCACTGACAAGGTCAACCTTTACCTTAACTGAGCCTATCTGTCTTTTTGCATCTTAAATAACATACCCTTGAAATGTCTGGGAAACTTGTAACTTCCCTTTTTCTGGACCCCTTGGGGCACAACCTAATGTGCCTGGGCACCAGGACAGATACCACAAATTCCTTCATTATGTTAATTGTTCCCACACCCACCTAAGTATGTGTCTATCCCTCTCTAGTCTATCACCAATGGGTTTCATGTAACCCACCTACGTCCCTCCTTTGATTGCAATGTATAAATACAGATGTAACCTGCCATTCTCTG